CTTCAACTCCCAGAATTCCCCAGCCAGCAATTCTGGGAGTTGAAGTCCACACGTCTTCAAGTCGCCAAGGTTGAGGAACAATGACCTAACCTACAGGCAACTAAGCCAAAAAAACCTACCAAACACTGTGTACCTAAGACAAGCTCTCCCACCCACCCTCATGGGCCCCTCCAGAGGTGCCGAATGACAGCCTCATCTATTTGGAGGACTCCCAGAATTCCTCAGCCAGCATGTGTGGACTTCAACTCCCAGAATTCCCCAGCCAGCCACAGATCATAAAGTTGGTGAGGTTGAGAAACATTGCTCTAGAGACCTCCTGTGACGGGGTGCCATACAGTACCATAAATAATAAATCTGCTGGAGAGGGCACTGGTGCTGGCATTAGGAGATCACCCGGTACGAGAAAGCAGATTTACGGGGAAGGAATGAGCAGCTGTATGAACAAAGAGGCCCACAGAAACACATGGGGCTAAGATATTATAAGCTCAACGGCCTGCCCACCAGGAGCAGGGAAGTTCAGTGCTCTTCTGCATAGCTCCAGCCATCATGGCCCTAGTCAGGGATGATGGGCATTGTAGTTCAAGCCACAAGAGCAGTCATGGCCAAGACCACTTGTTGGGGGAGGGAGAGACGGGAAGGGGGAGGAAGAAGAGAGAAGAGCCGGGGGGAGCCAGCTGGCAAGAGAAAGAGAGGCACCACCGTTGACTTTGTCTCGCACACTCTTCCCAAGATGGCTGAGGGTTCTTTGAAGGCCAAGCTAGGAAGCTGCTGAGCATCCCTCTCCCCGCAGCCCAGCGGGCAGGAAAGCCGTGTGCCCAGAGGCCCCGGCCTCCTCCTCCCCCCACTCACCTCCTTGGACGTGATGTTCTCCAGGTCCTTCTGCATCATAATCTCCCTCAGTTTGGTCTTGATCAGACGCTCTGTCCGCTCGCGCTCTGTCGGGCTGAAACAAGGGAAGTGACCGCTGTAAACTCAGAAGAAGAAAACGGAAGCGGGCAAGGACGGGCCTTGACCTCTCCTGGGGTCGCAGGTTTGCTTTGGGATGGCCCATCACCGTCTTCCTCTACTCGGCGTCTGCCCGATGTTGTGCCACTGCAACCTCCACGATTCCCAGCCAGCGCGGCACATACAGTGAGGGAGGATGGGAGTCGCAGTCCTGCAGGAGGTTCCCACTCTTGATTTAGCCCACGGAGCAAGGGGCAGCTTCTGGATATCTAGGGGAGGTGGCCGAGAAGTTGATGGGGCATCAGTTTCAACAGGGCCGGAACCCTTTTCGGCCAGGGTTCAGGCCTGGCCATGGGACCATCGATGACCTCTGGTGGGGATGAGACGGAGGGGGCACGACCCCACCAGCCCTGCTAGATCTTTCAGCAGCCCTCAGAACCACCAACCGTGGTGTCCTTCTGGGCCACCTGTAAAGGTTGGGAGTGGGACCGCCCTGGGTGGCTCAGCTCCTGCTGAGTGGATGTGTGGGGAAGGAAAGGTCAAGCCCTCGGGCACTTCAGTATGAGGTGGCATGGAGTTCAACCCTCCCCCGGTCTAGTTAACATCTACATCTACAACCCCTTGGGGGCTGTGTGGAGTCACCCATCCGTTTCAAGGCCTGCTATCATCAACCCACACGTGTCTGGGACCACCCCCTCCCAGATCAAACACCAGTGACGTGGAAATGCAGTTTAAAAGGGGTGCAGAGTTTTGTGGCACCTCCAGCGTGTGGGTTTCACATCCTGCTTTTCCTCCCATGCAGCTGAGGTTGGCGTCTATGTTCGCCTCACCCAACTTCACTCCTACGTCTCCATGGAGGCCACCCAAAGCTGAGAGGGCACAAGGTCGAGCAGTGGAAATTGAGGAGCCGGCTAGCCTGCATCCCTGGAATAACCGCCGGATCAACCCTGCAGCCTCCTGCCCCTGCACCGATAAGGCCATCTGACTGCCTCGCAGCTCAAGCCTCTTTCCTCTTCCACCCTCTACCTTTCTTGGAGAGGTGAGCGCTTCCATGCCTCCTTATATGGCACCCAGAGCTCACCCGGGACCCAAAGGCACATTCCAGCAGCCTCTCGCCTTATCACTGGCTGTAAAAATAGCTGGGCCTCATCAGCGAGGATGGAGCTGCTGGGGGCCTCCCAAGACAGCCGCCCGGTCCAGACGCAAACCTTCTGAACCCAGGAAGTGCTGGGCGAGCTGAGCCAAAGGGGAGGAGTCCTTTGGGCTGGGGGCCAGAGGCCTTCTGGAAGCCCCCAGTAGTTCCTTCAGCTCCGGCTTAGCTTGCCTCTCATCCTAAAGCTCAGGGCGGCTCTCTTGACTATAAGAAGTTGTGAGATTTCTCCCCAGACGGAGGCCCTGAGCGATCCTGGGAGGGCCAGGAAGCGCCCCAGCCAATTTCAGCACACAGCCTCCCAGAGGGACACGACTGATCCATTAAGATTTTGGCAACCGACGTTCCTCTGTCCAAAATTCTCTTTGGAGAGGACAAGCGAGAAAGAGTGTCAGAGAGATTAAGAATTAGGGGCACGTTTGGGTTCCTTTGGTGATTGGGATTGGCGTCCCCATGGCCAGCACCAATGCTCTCCCTGGAAGATTTATTATTTATGATACTTTATGCCACCCCGTCACAGAAGGTGTCTAGGGCAGTGTTTGTCAACCCCGGCAACTTTATGATGGGTGGACTTCAACTCCCAGAATTCCCCAGCCAGCATGGGGAATTCTG